TTATTTCCATGATTGTTACTAGAGATTAATATATACATTTTAATATGCATTGAGGTTATGTTTACATGTTTACCTAATCACAATTTTTGTCCTTCCTTATATGGAGTTTGTTGGAGACCACTGCTTTACCTGAACGCTGCTGAATGCATGCTTGACTATGCATAACAGTGCATCCGATCAAGAATGCCTGCGTGGCAAATCTGCATAGGCATGTGTGCTGTGGCAGATAAAGAAACACAGTGTCACTTACCGCAGACCAAATCAGAAAAAGCATTCTAATAGAGGTCACAAGTTCTAGTATGCTTAGTTAGCTTCCATCTTAGCAAACAAGTTCTGTTTTAAAGTAGCATACAAGGTCCTGAGGAAGCTTTCACAAGACTGTTTGCACATCGTTTGTTCTATTTATGAAAGCCAAGGCAATAAATAGTGAAGTAGGAACTCTGTTCTCTCAGCAGAGTGGCTCCTGGTCCCCCACTCTTGAGATTCTAATTAAGCATTGTGTGTTTCCTTCACGCTGTGCAATCCCTCTTCGAGGATTCTATGAATCCATGCTGGATGCAGAAGGAGTTGTTTGTTTTGTTAAAGACATTTTTCAGGGGCTGGAGAGATGGCTCAGCAGTTAAGAGCATGGTTTTTCTTGCAGAGGACCCAGGTTCAATTCCCAGCACCCACATAGCAGCTATCAACCATCTATCTGTAACTCCAGTTCCAGGGGAATTCAACACCCTTTTCTGAGCTCTGTGGGCTTTGCATGACATGGGTACACCTACATACATGCAGGCAGTACATGCATATACACAAAAAAAGACATTCTTCATACATAATATGAATCTTTGACAGTTTGGCACTGCAAATGACTTCTATTGGATTGGGCTAAACTTTTTAAACTTTATGTAGTTTAAACTTTAGCAAAATTCCCATGAGTAAGGGGATGAATTTGTATCCTGTACCCATTATCATAGTGTTATTTGTATTTTGCTTCAAGTGTACTCTCTCTCTCTCTCTCTGTCTCACCCTCCCTGTCTCTCTCTTCCATGTGTATAAGATCTATGTGTTTTATAGGGCCCTGAAAGCATTCCGTTCAGTGAAACTTTGTGTTCTGCAGTCAGGACATCTTGGCTGAGCTGTTCATTCCAGTAAGTAGTCTCCCATCAATTTACATATTTTGAACAATCTGTCCTCACAACATGGATTATTTTACAAATATTGTCTTAGCTTACAGCATTGTATACATGGGTACAGGCTCAATATTTACACCTTAAATTATCCTTTGATTATGTACTATTCCCTTACCAGGGAAGATTTGTATGTTAAACTGATTAAAAATATTTCCTGGGGTCAAATTCTGTGTTTTGTAAGAATCTGAGAATCATTACCTAAGAGCAGCTCATGTGGATAACAGAAGAATTAGAGAATGTGTTAAGAGATGGAAGAAGATGGTGTAAAAAGTCTGGGACAAAAGCCAATTATTGCAGAAAATAAAAGGCAGGCAAAATCTACATCTAAGACTAGGAACCACATTGAAAGGAAATCACTGAGGAAGGGTACCCGGCACATTGGAAAATGAATTAAAAGACTCAATGAGTTCATCAAGCTACTGAAAACCTTTCACTTTTATAAGCCACTTTTGCAATGGAAGAAATAGACTTGGTAATACTAACAGTATGACGAGGACATAGAATGATAAAATAAAGCTTCAAGAACCTGAAACCAGTCACTCAGTCTTAAAAGGATTTGGTTACATCATGCCTCGGGAAATTGTCCAAGCAAGTTGCAGCTGTACGTGTCAAGTATCTTGTTTGCCTAGTAATTCCCATTATTAAGTAAGTGTGAAACTTGTTCTCCAGTTATCGGCAATATCTCTCAATGTTTAGCTTCTTTCATGCTACTGAGATAATCTGATGTTTTTCCTAGTATCAAGAAAAGCTTACTCAACTTATTCCAGTTGAGATTACTTCCTCTCTCCTCAAATACCAGTTATTGGCCACACACACAAAAAAAAACTTAGCAGTAAATATTTATACCCCAGCAACCCATCAATCCCTATCGTCCTTAACATTTTGTGAGAAACTGGTTTTGTGTCATCAGCTGATCTGCGACTGTGAGTAATGAAGAATAGGTTTAGACGCTTCCACGCCCCTCCCTGATATGTTCATAATTTTCCATAATTTTATACCCTTCCTTTTCTTTGTGCTTCAGTAAAAAATAAGAAGGGGATCTACCTGTGCTTTCTACCTACACAATTGTCTCCTTATTGTGACAAAACCTCCTATATCCAGCTCCTAAATGAGTCCTCCTCACACTCTTTTCTTTCCTTGTTTTTGGGCTACAATAACTCTTAAAATTTTCTCTTAAGACTGTAAAAGACAGCCCATTTAGGTGTGTAAAAATAATATAATAAGCAAAAGTTTCATTCAGTGTGGTTACAGAGGCAGCCTGACACTCCTCAGTAAGGACTGTAGAATCTATAATGACTGTTTATTTAGGGACTGTGTGGATGATATTGTGGGTATTAGGGGACATGTGACAGGGACTTCAGCAATATTCCTAGTAATGGACTCTCCATCCATCAATGTTATGGCCTATATATTTTCCTTCAGCAACATTCAAAGGATGAATTCTCCAAGGTTTTCTTTCTAGGAAAATTATGATACCAATGCCAGTATCAGTGCCATATATCTCTGTTAAAACAGGCGTTTATAATACTTGAGTCCAGCTCTTCTATCTTCAACACTCGATAGTCAGAGAGTTTGGGCTTGTGCTGACAGGGAATACACCTCCAGCAGCTTAGAAGGGCATTAATTATACCTTTCCATTGTGGTCAAGCGACAGCCTACAAACAGTTTACCCAGATGATTTTAATGTCAGTGAATTTCTACTCTTTCTTAAAAAAAGACTAAAGTTTGACTTCCTACTATTCAACAGGTGACTTAGGCTGCTTGTAAAGAAATTAGTCAGAAATGGTTGCACATGAATCTAATCCAAGTACTTGAAAGCCAAAGGATTACTGCAAATTTGAGACCAACCTGGTGTACATAGTGAATTCTAGGTCAGCCTAGACTACATACAGAGACTTTGACTTGAATTCTCCACACCCTAGACCAAATTAAATGTTGTTTGTTGGCATGCAATTTGGTCCAATTATATATTTGCAGATTTTAAACCCATATCTATCTATCTATCTCTCTATCATCTATCATCTATATAGGTATTTGTAGATTTTATCAAATTGAATTTCTTGTGCACAGAATTTTTGAAAAGAATCCACTGAAGTATGCTGGTGTTACTCTACTGTTGTTAGAACCCAGGGCATTCTCGCACCACTTTAACCTTCAATTAGAGAGTTCTCTGGCAGATCTAGCAGAGATACTTGACTTGATCAATCTGTATTGAGATTGTTGGCCTTTTACTTTTAGTTTATTATTTAGACAAATCACATATGTGATTTTAAACTCATTGCTTGAAAATTAAAATTATTTAAAATATCATGTTGAAAAGGTGAGCAAAGTTTCTACAGTACAAGCATTGGCATTCATTTCAAATGTCCTCTTCTATGCCACAGAAGCCCCATTCAGAGAGCACGGGTTATTCATATTCTAGAAAAATGATAGACGAGCATTGAATAAGATTGTTTGGGATATTCTGTATGATATACACACAAAAAATCTACAAATTCAAAAATGAGTTATATTTGAGGAGGAAGCATAAAAACTTATATCATGTTAAGTAGTAGAGGTGATAAATATTACCAGTGAAATCTACCTGTTGACTTTATATCCGTACACAGGTGCCAAGGATCTGAGTGCAACCGACCACAACTAGTAATAATCAGATACATACAGATTAGAGATGCATGCACAAACATCTAAGTGTTATTAGCAAAAGCAATGAGTTTCTTGTTTTTTAAAGAATAAAATCATGTAAGAAATAAAATAGAAGTTTCAAGAAGCTGTAGATTATAAACACGGAGTCTCTCCCCAAATTATCTGTTAAGGACTCTTCTAAGGTTTGCTGGCTGGGAAACTTGGAGCAATTTGGTTGATCTCTGTGTTTTCATTTCCTCATCTGTATGTTTAGAGTCCAGTGGTCAGCCTTCCCACTGGAATAACAGGAGAACCTGCTGAACTTCTTTGTTTCCTTTATTTAATAAAGTTACAGTAAAAATGAAGCAATGTTAGAGTATTATGAAACTTAGCAATAAAACTTGTGTAATGTGTTTGCTGGAGTAAATAATTATACACATAAGATATTTAAATGGGTGGCACATCTCAGCCACCCGCTCACCTGGCAGGTGTCTAGACCATGGCCAACCTGAAGTGTACCTTCATCGCCCTCTAGCCAGAATGCAGGCAGCACAGCCTGGTGGGCGAGATCAAGTGCTCTGAGCAGAAGGGGTTCCCCTGGTGGCTGTGAAGAACACCTGAAGCAGCACTACGTTCACCTGAAAGACCAGCCTTTCTTCCCAGGGCTGGGGAAATACCCGAACTCGGCCTGTGGTGGCCATGGTCTGGGAGGGACTCAATGTGGCGAAGACAGGCCAAGTCATGCTGGGGGAGACCAATCCAGCTGATTCTAAGCCAGGTGCCATTCGAGGAGATTTCTGCATTCAGGATGGCAAGAACATTATTCATGGCAGTGATTCAGTGAAGTGCTGAGAAAGAGTTCAACCTATGGTTTAAGCCTGAAGAACTCATTGACTACAAGTCTTATGCCCATGAATAGGTCTATTGAATAGAGGTGGACAAAACAGGGCCCCTTTCAGCATTATTGGTGGGCCCCTGGACACAGCCCTTCATTCTACTGACCAGAAGCGATAGTATGTACCATCTTTTCTAGAGCATAGTTACCAATAAAGCCTTTGGAAATTTCCTTTGGAAATGGAAAAAAAAAAGATATTTAAATGGTGGTTGGCATATATTAGCCACTCAATAATTATTATTCAATATTTTAAAATACTTAGAACATGAAATAATTTTGTTTTTACTTCCAGGTGAATAATTATGGACAACACAGACACATATTTATTTAATTATAAAGGCTACAATTTTGAGAAACCTTTAGTGAAAATTGGAGATCTAGAAAATATGGAAGATTTTGAAATAAGAGATGATGATGTCTTCATAATTACATACCCCAAATCTGGTAAGTATCAGGAGTGGGCCATGTTGCATTGGTCCACTCACCAAAAGCAGCACAAACTTCATTTACATAATCATTTAGGATCAGATAAGAACAAAACAGAACCCCAATCTGAAAGCTATAATGTCATTTTCAATGCATCCCTGCATCCCTTGTCTATTCTGATGGCAAGTAAAAACAAAGAAAATATGGAGCTAAGAGCAGGTAATGGGTAATTGCTGACCAGTTGCTTCAGTCTTGGACAGAGCTGACATGGTCTGAAATTTTTTTTTCCAAATTATAAGTGTTTCATTATTTAGAGACTTTATCTCATAAAGATACATTCTCCAACTTATTTTGTTTACTTTAGAAATATTCCATAGGAACTAGATTCCACTTAAGATTCTTTTAAGAGCCCTTAACCAGTGAATTTGTTTGCTATATATACACACACATATATGGATATATGCATACACACATATATGGATATAAATTATGCATACACATATATCCTTGAGTTTTGAAGTCCATCAATATAGAGATGTGGTGAAACACAGCCTTCTCAGGAACAGGCTATTGTAACTGTCACTGCTGTTTCACCAGGGGTTGAGACCAGGAGGCCTTGGTTTGCATTCTAAATAGAAACAGGATTGGATTCCATTCTAAATGGAAACATGTTTCTCAAATATTTTCATTGCCATTACCTGATGGGAATGATCATGTATCCAAGAATCAGTGAAGAAACTGTAATCTTTGGCCTCTTCTTCCTCATAATATGTATTATAATCTATCTCAGAATATGGCAGAAAACATGTTCAGTAGTGCAGAGACTTCAGGTTGGGCTTAAGAAGCAAGAGAAGGGAAGAAATGGAATGAACTTCCAGTTTGTTAAGTTTATCAATTTTCCTGTAATTCCAATTGCATGCTTCTAAGAAAGTCTCAGAACAGAACAGAGTTGCGTGCAAAAAGACAGCAAACAGGCATCCAAAGCCCTACTGTACATATTTATGAAGATGAAGAAGAAATGAGTCAGAAGGTGCCAAACAGAGAAAAAAATGGTAACAAGAGGGAAATGCTATTTATCCTGATGTGATCTCATACATGAGTGGTAATATCACATTGTATGCATCAATATTTACAAATATCTGACAATGAAAATATTACAAAAGTGATCTCACATGGAGCATAGAACACAGAAACTGCAAGAATAATTTCAAAAATCAATATCAAGAAATAAGAACAAACATTTATGCAAGTAAAAAAGAGCTACAAGTCCTTGACTTTATCTTTACTTTTTAATTAAGTAACCATTTTGTTTACACACCCTATTCATAAATAATTGCATCCTCTTCAACTGCACAATGATTCTTTGAAGATTTAATGATTACACTGAGTATACATCTAAAAGTGGATGGGGGCTGACTCTGATGTGTGAGCTCTTGTGTGTGAGCACTCAGAGGCACACCAGAGACTCACACACATACAATGGGGCAACTTCCAGGGCCTCCTGGGCTGTAGGCACCAGCCTTCTGCTCCCAGCACCAGTGGGAATTCTTAATGTTAAATATAGACAAAAATTAAACAAAATTACTCATGTTTTAGTAATTGCTTATGTTGATTAATGTATTTGGAGTCTTTCAAAGAAAAGAAAGCACCGGTGATTTTAAGTTGGACAGCATCACCATAGATATATTTTTTTTTAATTAAAGTCTACTTTAGGATTGAAAACAGGATTATTTTTTACAGGTACCATCTGGACCCAGCAGATACTCAGCTTGATTTATTTTGAAGGACACCGAAACAGCACTGAAAACATCCAAACACTGGATAGAGCACCATTCTTTGAGTACAATATTCATAATGTGAACTTTGACAAGATGCTGTCCCCTCGAGTCCTTACTTCTCACCTTCCATATTACTTAGTACCAAAAGGTCTCAAGAACAAAAAAGCTAAAGTACGTTACAGAGTTTAATAACTTTTTGCACAGATAAAATGCCTTAAGTATTGAATAATGAAATTATTTCAATATTTATGCTACTATGCTACTTGCTGAACTACTGAGTGTCCCCAGAGCACGTTAGCACTAGCTTCCCTAGGATGCACATCCCTGAATGGAACGGCAAAGCCCCAAGTACCAGAATACTTGGCTTAATGAGGTGGTACTACATTTCTGAAGAAAGTGCGTACATCAGTTCTTGCTGAAATAGGCAGTCATACTTTTATTTTTAATTTTAATTCTTCTCAATTAAGGTTTATGCATTTATTTTTCCAAATATTTATCATATAGTATAAATATTTCTTGAAATATCTCTATTTTTTCTCTCCATGAAGATAAGGGCATGGTTAGTTTTTCATCACCACCAATGCTGGACAGATCATGCACTGTACAACCCAGAAGGCAAATTCACCTTGTGGCCATTTTAGTTTCATATATGTATCATCATAGTGTTCCCAGTGGTTGTCATTTTTCTGGAGGAAAGGATCTTCTTTCAAATTGCATTCAGTGTTAGTTTTGAGCTACTCAACAATTCATGAATGAATGAGGAACTCTTTTATCCCTTATCTCTATCTTCAGTGATTTTCATGTTTTTCTTCCTGGAGCTACTCATGTAGTCCTAATGTTTACCACACCAGAGGAGACCAGGAAACACAATCATAGGTTTTCTGACACCAGGGGACTATGTCACCACAGATAGCCATTTAACATGGTAAAGCTGACTTAAACAGTAACATACAGAGAGGATTTGAAAATTCTATTTTGCTCTTATAAAGCTAATTATGCTTTTTCATGGGCATTATTTTCATATTAGTTATCTAAAACTTGACTTTTATCTTCTACAAAGAAAAAATTAAACATTGGGTTAATATTGAGACTACAAATGCTCTTATTTCACAACCAGCTCTGCAGTAACACCACTGAAGACCACCAGAATCTACTACATTTTCCTTAAAGTTTTTAACTACTTTACATTAATATAAGTAACTACATTCTACTTACAAAGTCAAGAACTGAAAGTGTATTTGGCACACTAAGAATAAGCCTCCTCTACATCTGACAGCATAAAAAATAAACATTGGCAGCCACATTTCAGCTTTGGTAGGAACTCTCTTGATAGTGTTCTCTTACTTTTAAATGATGATCAATGTGGCAGTTACCAAATAGTGTCTCAGACTGATATTAATTTGCATACTCAGTAATGAGATTAAGCATATTTGATGTTTATTAGCTAAATCATTTTTTATTCTGTGAAAGGGCTCTGTAATTGGTCCAACATTTTATTATTATAACTAAAATGTAATTTTCCTACTATTGTGATTTCTGTCATTTGTGGATACAATCTACTGATATGTGTTGCTTTTCTCACATTTTATAACTTTTTGCAACTTTGTGGTATACTTTGATTAATAACTTCCTTACTTGAAATGTCATCAAATGGATTGATTGGGTCAAGACTAGGACTATTTATTTTTGGTTTAGTCTTTGTTTATTTCTTTGTTTCTTTATATCTTTCTTTTAGGAGGCAGGTTCTTGTGATGTAGCCCATGCTGGCTTTGAGTTCTACATCTTCCTTTACCGGCCTCACAGGTGCTGAGATTATAGGCATGGACTAGCATGCCTAGCTAATAGTTATTTTTTTGTCAATTTTTGAACCTCTTGATAACCCTAATATACTTGTAAACATTATTCAGAATGCAATGAAAGACAAGTAAGTTTTCTTTTAAAATTATCTGTGGATAATTATTAAAATTTGCATCAAGATGACAGCTAATTCTTCCTTTATTCACTTATTTCCAATGCTACCTGGGCTATACATCAAATATCATAGAAAAGTCAATGGAATATTACTTGACTTAGCCTTAAAGCAAACTTGTTTGTAATATTTATCAACTTTACAAATGAAATAAAATCTAGAAAGCTTTTCCTATTTTCTTGCACATATGAAAAATGTTATTATGTAAATTAAAGTTTTTTTTCACTCTTTGTAGTAGGAAAAACTAAGGTGATAATCAACTACATTTTCATGACCAGAATATTTTCATATAAAAATAATTATGATTTATTTGGGTAGTGAAATAATAAATAACTGTTCAGGGCTTATAAGAATAACCTGTAATTATTAAGTAATTTCATATTTTTCTGCAGATTCTTTATATCTACAGAAATCCTAAAGACATTCTGACTTCCTATTTCCACTTTTCAAAATGGTTGGTTACATTAGAAGCTACACACACCATAGAACATTTTATGGAAAAGTTTCTGGATGGAAAAGGTAACTAAGTTTACCCTCCCTCCTGTTTATTTATAAAGTAAATCTGCCACTTAGCCATCTCAAATGTAGGGAGCATTTATCAAGGAGATGGAGCAGGCAGTGGGGTGCATGTAAGTAGTGATAACTGTGCACCAACTTAGCCTGCCCCCTAACTACTATTGTCAGGACCATTGGGAATTAGCAAGTTTGAAAGGTACATCATTTAGGAAGTACTTTGGAAGACCATGAGATGCTTGCGGATACTGCATCAGTGCCTCCCAGCTAGAGGCACACGTAGAGCCATCTATTCCAGCCTAGCTAATGTCGAGGGTGAGTGTGCGCCCTGCATAGGCCCAAGTGAAACCTTATGGGACAGCTGTGGAATTGCTCATTTTACTACTGAGGAGGACTGACTAATGAGAGAGGCTCATAGAATGTGGAATCAGGATGTCATTAGAGTCCACTCAGGTTCTGTGCCACTGTAGCCAACAAATGCTGCTGTCCAGACATCTTATAGGGAAAAGAAAGAGAGACATGTATCTTCAGGTAGACAGCAGGAACGTCCCTTAAAGATATCTTTAAACTACGACCCTTGAATTTCTTCTTCTTCTTCTTCTTCTTCTTCTTGAATTTCTTCTTCTTCTTCTTCTTCTTCTTCTTCTTCTTCTTCTTCTTCTTCTTCTCTCTCTCTCCCTCTCCCTCTCCCTCCCTCCCCCCCCTCTCTCTCTTTAAAGTGTATGCGTGTATTGCCTGCATGTAGGTAAGTGCACCCGTGTTGTGCAATGCCCGCGGTGGACAGAAGAGGCTGTCGGATACCCTGGAACTGGAGTTAGGACAGTTGTTAGCTGCCATGTGGGTGCTGGGATATGAACCTGGGTCTTGTGCAAGAACAACCAGTGTTCTTAACCGCTGAGCCATCTCTCCAGCCTTGACCCTTGAATTTCTTATCCACTGCTGCTTCCTTACTTCTATAGAATAGCTTTGTATGAACCTCATGTAATCCCAAATAACCATTATAAAACAGTAATATAAATGTCCAATGGCAGGAGCTTTGTATTAATTTCTGAACATTTTAAACCAGAAAAGAAAGCATAGAGTGCACTGTTAAATGAGTGTAATGCTTCAATTTTGTTGCCCATTTATTTTTCCTTCAGTTGTAGGAAGTCGGTGGTTTGATCACATCAGAGGCTGGTATGAGCACAGACACAACTTCAATATTCTGTTCATGAGGTATGAAGACCTGAAGAAGGTAAGATGAGAAAGTTATACTTTTAAAATTATTGGGCTGGAAAGACTGCTCAGTGGTTAAGAGCACTGAATATTCTTGCAGAGGACCCAAGTTTGGTTCCCAGCAGTCACATGGAGGCTAACAACCGTCTGTAACTCCAGTTTCAGAGGACCCAATGCCCTCTTCTAACCTCTGTGGACATTACACAACGTGGATGCACTTACATGCATGTAGGCAATACACTCATATGCATAAAATAAAATTAATAAAAATAAAAAATATATTTCTTTTAAATTATCTTCTTTTGGTTTAAAATCAGTTGTATTTATATCTAACTTGTCCTTGGACCTCTTGTTGAAGGAGGTTTTTTTAACATCCAACCTTTCTCTCAATGACTGGTCTTCTCCAGGCACTCTGGTCCCTATATAGTCATCTTTTATGATTCCTTTTTTGTAATCACCTGTGCAACAAAGTCAATCTTACCTATATAAAGTATCAACATCTTTTATTTTTTAAAATTTTTTAAAATTTTATTTATTATTATTTTTTATGTGTATGCGTGTATTGCCTGCATGTAGGTAAGTGCATCTGTGTTGTGCAATGCCTGCGGAGGTCAGAAGAGGGCATTGGATCCCCCAGGACTGGTGTTATGGACAGTTGTTAGCTGCCATATGGGTGCTGGAATTCGAACCCAGGTCTTCTGCAAGAACAACCAGTGTTCTTAACCGCTGAGCCATCTCTCCAGCCTCAATTATCAGCATCTTTTAAAAAGATTATTTATACACATTAGTTACTTGTTTAATGGCCTTAGTATCCTATTTCCATATGTGAATACAGTATTCATTGATCTACTCAACCACTCTTTTCTCATGCTGCCTTTGCCCCAGGACTCTTTCCAATTCCTAGTAATCATAATTCTCCTTTCAGATTGACAGCTGTTTTTCTTTCTGCATTATAAGAGAACATATGATATCTGTTTCTCTGGGTTATTTCACTTAATGTTTTAAGATTCGCCTATTTCCTCAATGACAGAATTTTTGTTTTGTTAATGTCTCTATTTTGTATATAGAACATGATTTTTTTATTCTTTCATATATTTATGGGCATCTGCTCTGGCTCCATGTCTTAGCTACAATGAAGAGTGCAACGACACTGAATAACTGTGATGCTTTTGAGTACTGAATTTATTCCCATTGATTATACAGGCAGGTCTGGGTAGCTGGATCATACAGTGTCCCTATTTTTAGCTATGTGGGTAACCTACATTGTTTTCCATGGTGACTGCATTTAATGAAGGGCATCAAAGAATAGTGATCACTTACAAAGATGAAGACTAAGGTTGTCATCATGCTTAGCAAAGTCCTTCCTTCTTTGTCCCCAACCTACCAACTTAGCTCCATTTCTTTTTAAACAAATGTTTTTTATTTTAATTTTATGTGTATGGGTTGCCTGCGTGCATGTAAATGCACCAGTGTCACGCAATACATGTGGAGGTCAGAAGAAGGTGTGAGATTCCCCTGGAACTGGAGTTACAGACAGCTGTTAGCTGCCATGTGGGTGATGGGAATCGAACTGGGGTCCTCTGCAAGAGCAACCAGTGCTCTTAACTGCTGAGCCATCTCTCCAGTCCATCAGTTCCATTCCTCGTGAGTATATTATAGACCAGTCTTTCTGAAGTTAGCTTTCCTTAAATATGGAAAAGATTTCAACTTTCTATGAAGTACTGCTTACACTGAAATTTAGAAAAGAAATCCATGTTATTTCCAGACATTTTTTTCTTGGATTAAAAGAACTATTTCTTTTAATAGTTTTAAAAATACTTGTTTTAGTTTATGTGTATGAGTGTTTGGCCTGCATGTATGTAAGTGTACCATATGTGTGAAATGTGTGTGTAGGCTTCTGGATACCCTGGAACTGAAGTTACAGGTAGTTGTGAGCCACCATGTTGGTGCTGGGAATGAAACCCAGATCCTCTGGAAGATCAGCCACTTAACCACTGACTGATCTATCTCTCTAGCCCCCCAAAAGATATTTCTTATCATGAGAAATGTAATATTTTTGAGGAATAAATTAATCTCTCTTTTTTTGTGAACTAATATTGCAAGTCTTGTTCCTGGTCAGGCTGTTTGCTCCACTGCATATTAACTGCAATAAAAGATGACATTTTAGCCATTTTAAGTGCATGTTTCTGTGTATGTGTTTTACAGCTATCAACATCATTCATTTCCAAAACTGTTTTCTTCATGCCACTTGTTCATCAAACGAAAATTAATTCCTAACTCTCCTCTCCTCTTGGCACCTGCAAACCACCATTCTCCTTTCTTTATGAATTCCCTTAGGCTTAGTACTTCATATGAGTGGAAACATAGTTTTCTTTGTTTCCTTCCCTCCGTCCCTCCATCCCTCCCTCCGTCTCTCCGTCCATCCCTCCGTCCATCCCTCCCTCCCCCCTTTCCTTCCTTCTTGGGTTCACTCTTAGCCTTAAAGTCAATGCTAAGAGTCAGGCTGCTTCTTTATTCATAACTGTAAAGTGGCTTAGAAATGCTGAAACAGGCTTTTTCTGTATCAATGACAATAATCATTTCAGGCTTTTCTTCATCCTGTTCGTGTGATGAACGTCACTGGCTTATTTTCATATGTCAACCCATTTTTGCCTTCCAAGCGCACCTTCTACTTGACCACACTGCACGTCTGACTATAATTCACGCATTCATCATAAAGTGAATCATTTATCAACCCATGAATCTTTCAGGACCTCAGAAGCTCAGTGCTTAAAATCTGCAGTTTTCTTGAGAAAAAACTGAGTGAAGAAGATGTGGACACAGTTGTGAGACAAGCTACATTTCAGAACATGAGATCTGACCCACGAGCAAATTATGATGATATCATAAAAAATGAAATTGGGACAAGAAATGAGGGGAAATTCCTACGCAAAGGTGATGTTCAGCAGTTTGTAGTAGCAAAATATTGAGACTTCCTTGGAATCCTTGTCCCTAGGAGAAATAATATGTGCTTCCAATGTGTTTCTCCAAGTGACAATGATATTAGGTACCTACAGAGTATCACACATCTCAGCTGAAAGTGACCCTGAAGAGTTTCTCAGGAAATCTAATAGCACTGTAGTACAAAACCTGACTATATCATCGAATCAATATGACTTTACTTCCCTGTAGATCACATGACTCAACTCTCTTAAAACATGTCAGTAGGCTTGTCCTAGGCAATGATTATATTAGAAGATTTTAAGCTTTTTCTTTTCTTTTGAAGGAGAGTCTTGCTGCTCAGTCTAGCCTGGCATCAGAGTGACTATGCAGTACAGACTGGCCTCAAACCTGATTTCCTCCAGCCTCTTTCTTGCAAATGCTGGGATTTTAGGCTTGATGCTTTATGTAGCTGAGGTTTACCTTGAACCCTGGATTTTCCTGTCTCTACCTCCTAGTTGGCAGGATTACAGGCATGCACAACTGTGCCTAGCTGCTTTGCCCTCATTATATGTTAGAAGTTAGGAAGGAATGATTCTCTCCTAATTGATATTCTTTTTTCCAAAATTAAAAATTTAATTCAGAAAATCATTTAATGTAGAGCATTCTAAAACATAACTTGACATATGTTTTACTTAGTTTTAAGTTACTCATCAGTTAGCATTTTGATATTGGGCTTATTAAATCCTTTCAAAATATTTTATTGGAGTTACTGTAGATTTTGATATTTTACAAAATTTCTCCATCTTTCCCTTCTTCCATTTAACACCAAACTTTCACTTCCCATTCCTGAAACTAGACCCATACTGGTGAATAGCCATAACATTAGTAGTTTGCTATTTGTGTCAAATGCCAAGAATAAGGTTTGTACATCTGACATTAGGAAAATGTCAAATTGCTTTTTTCATTTTTAAAAGGTGAAATGGTGGTTGCAAATTTCTATTTAGTAGAATTACAGCACTGGCAGGTCTGGGACCCTATGTGACCTTAACTTCATCAGTTGAAAAAAATCTTTGGATCTCATTTTACATTTGAAAATGAAGAAATTCATAATGCTGTATTATAAATTATATCATATTGATTACTATAGTTTGGTTAGTATGATGCTTTATATATAGGAAATTGTACTTTAAAAATTCTAATATATTTATATATGTAGAGGTTTTTTTCTTCTTAAAGATTGGTTGTGAGTGGGGGGTGATATCTGGCAAAAGTTATTTTGGGAAAATGAGATGTCAATATATTTACTATAGTACTTTATTTCTGAAGGAAAGTAAGCTATCAAACCCCACAAAGAACTTACAGATATTTAATGTGGATTGAAGAAGATATTGAAGTGGATTGGGGTAACCTTTGCCCTGATAGTTTTACTTACTCATCTTGGTGCTGTCCTGTGCTTATCACTTTAGGGACCATTGGAGATTGGAAACATCATTTGACTGTGGTACAGAATGAAAGATTTGACAGCATATTCCAGAAAAACATGAAAAACTTTCCATTGAAGTTCATCTGGGATATGAATGAGGAATAGACCCCTAATGTCAGTATACAATAAACATAAAAACCTACCAGAGGCATACATTAATATCAATATTGACATCTTTCCATATTTTAATTACTAAACCCTATGCTTTACTAAGGAACAAAATGAGTGGACTATACTTTTATTAATTGCCATGAGCATAATGAATGATTTCAAATTTCAAAAATTAAATTAATTTTGGGAGCTATTCAGCATTGGCACTGTGGTCAAAATTGGTAAAACAGAAAGTATGAAAAGATAGTTGGTAGATCCATTTCTTTTTATCTACAATTAGATTTTGCATCAAGTAAACATTGAAAATATTCCCATTCAAGTAATAATACTTTAATTTGGGCTTCAAATCACTATGAATATTAAAATGTTATGGTAAGTGGGATAGATAGTTAAGTCATATACAAAAATATGGCTCTCTTTAAATGTAACAGATTGTAATTTAGACTAAAGATGAAGAGATCAATGATTAATGAAATATGCCTGGGTTCAATCATTAAACTTGGGATAAAACACATCCTGCATGTAATGTATCACTCCTTAAGCCTATGCCACATAAATTTGGTAACTACCATAAATAACTTAAATAAGAAAATATAGAATTAGTTTATAATTCTTAAGTGAAGAAAAACTTTTAAAGTATAACATCAGTGGAGAAAAGCTTAAAAGGAAAAGTTTAGTGAATTACAATCATAAGTTTTTAAGGGTAGCACCATTCATAGCAATCAGGAAATGAAAATAACCCAAGACAACCATCAAGAGGATATGCTTATTGACATCCTGGTGTGTTAGAGTATGTTAGTTTGCTTTGATAAGCAGCCTTTTAAGGCACAAGATGGTCCCCTAACCCCAGGGAACCAACCACCCCTCCCTCACAAGGCCGATCCCATGATTTACAGGAATACTAGTTCCAATCAGTAAAACGAAACTGTAAACTGAAACCTAAGCTGTCTGCTCATGTATGACCTGATCATTGTACTCTCTCCTGAATGACTTAAGAACCCTATATAAGCTCGCTGTTTCTTCAATAAAGTAGATCTGTGTCTCTGAACCTGGTCTCCTGTGTCTGAATGTGGGTCTACCGACACAGCCTCCTCACCAGCCCTGGAGTCCAGGATCGGTCGGCGGCAGTGAGCAACCCCGACTGTGAAGGCGGCCTGAATGGTTGGCTGCAATGGTGTTGAGCATCATGTATTTTGGTTCCATGGCAAGACAGTACATCATGGTAGGGTACAGGTATTGAAGTAAAACATTTCATCCCATGAAGACTTAACACAGGATGAGGAATGCACTAAGATTCCAATATCCCTTTCAAGGGTACATCTTCAGTCACCTTATTTCCTTCTATTAATGTCTACCTCTTAGGAGTTTCAGTAAATCCCCAAAGCAACATAAGTTGGGAAACCATTGAAGACATGGCCATTGAAGGGACACTTATCAAAGCTATAGTACACCTAATGTATATAAAAATAAATAACTTATGGCAACCATTTCCAATAATGCCATCAAATATGAACCCATCAATGAATTAATCCATTCATGAATCAGAATGCCATGCTCTAGTTACTTCCAAAATCCCATCTTTGAATACTACTTTCAATAGGGAACGAACTTTCAATCCATGAACATTTTAGGGAGATCATTTTGTAATCGATATATAACATGATACATAAATTGTGCCTAGATAGATAGGAAATACATGTGAATCTTCCTGACATGATATCTAGCAGAAGAAAACCAGACACCCATGTGACACTAATCTATGGTTCTGGGAGTTAGGAGAGAGGTTGCCTTTGGTTGATAGTGTAGTAAATGGACAAACAACTAAGAGAAGCCCTAGGGTGTTAGGAATATTCTTTTACTTGATTCTGGTAGTGAACAGCTGTCAATATTCATCTTTGTGCTTGTACATTTCTGTATTTTTGTTATACTTTCATAAAGTTTACATAATTAATAAACTTGAAAGATGGCAAACAGTAGAAAAATTTGAAATTATTAAATATATAAAACATTAATATTTACAAAAGTTTAATATTTGAAGAATACTTATTGATTAAGATAGAAGAATAAAGTAAACTTCCCCATATGCTTTGTGGACATGGAAATTGCTTTAATACTTCTACACAGCATTGCTGGAACAGAATCAAAGGGCTTCAAATAACAGTTAGATTTCACCATTCTATGGTTTACTTTCTAAATGCCAATTTAATTAACTCAATTTTCTGCTTTCATCATTTTGTTTGGAACTTTTTTTGTTGCAATTAAAGTATCTTTTTCACATCCATCTTTTTTCCTTACCTAAACAAAAAAAAATTAAAAACTTTGTGAATAAAAAAAATTGGATAACTTTCTTTTCATGTTTGAGAGCTTTACTACAGGAACCTCAATCAATTTTTTTGTAAGATATGCTATTGTGATGTATGCCACAGTACTTGGCTGAGTGCTTGTGATAGGCGCCTCAGATGGTCCTCCACAGATTCATTGCTTTTCTCGTTCTAATTTTGTCTTATTCTGTCTTTGCCTCTGCTAATTCTCCTACAAGTGACAATGATGTCAGTGAAGGTTAACAGTGTTTTATTTGATATGTTTATGGTCATAACCTGATATTTGCTTTTTAAAATGTATACTCAATGTGAAAAAAACAAGAACAGAAAAGGAAAGCATCTTGTAAGTGTTATGCTTTAGGCATTATGGAGTGTGGACTGTCTGTTACTAAGGAATTTGGCAAAGCATTGTTTACTATACAGTGAAAGTAGAGGTGTCCTGAAAGAAAACAACATATATTAGCTTTATGAGATTAAGCATGGATATTGATAGTCACGACTTATAGGAGAGAATGAGAAATGTTCTGAACTTTTTTTTTTTATTAGAAGAAGCATTTCATTACAACAGCATTAACCTATTCAATAACATTTTTCTGAGCTAGGGTACATCTCTTTCAAAATTAGCTGTATATTTTTAGGTTTACAGATGAATTATTACGCTTGTACAGTCTTTTTCACATTATAAACTCTATAAGACATAAAATTAAATGAGGTTCCAACGTTTTAAAAAGATATCCACTTCGTTGTCAAAACACACAGTTTCATACAGAAAAATTCCTTCCAAGGCTATTGACATTGAGACGTTTTCACATGCATTTCTAATCTCTACATACATGACTATCACAAGGTCACAGTCACCCACCTTCTGAGCTCCCTGGCATCTGAGCATTAATACAAACTCGTCAGGTAGACCGTCTTCCTCTCCCACCAGAGCCTCCACACTCTGCTATTGCTGCCACTGTCCACTGTGCTGTCAGCACCCCCATCCATTCCCCCCTATCTGCCCTTCTGGTAAATCTAGTCAGCCAGAGGTCCCTGATCCAGGAGATTCAGCTGTTCCTGATCAAGGGCAATCTATTGTCAATATTCCTTTGGATAGAATTGGGGTCTGCTGTTCATTTTTCCAGTAGTATCTTGGAACTTTCTGGAAGAGCCTTTATCCATCCCATCCAACAACTCGACTGAAGGTATCGCCTGTCTGGTTTTGCTGTTTGTCAAGTAGCTTTTAGTTATATATGTATGATCTTGTGAAATTATATTGGCCCCTTTAATCTTTGGTTATACTTCCCTTTTGGGTGTTTAAGGACATACAATTGGACCAGATAAACTGATTTGTTTTTACTCTTGAGGTCGTTAGAGGATCTGTTCCTCAGGGGTCCCATGGGGTTGGGAGGAGCCCCTGGCTCCTTTCTTTTACCAGCTCCATCCATGTAAGGATAAGTCAAAGGTCCTGCTCGACAATTGTTGGCTTCTCTTGGAAGCATGGAGGAAATGATTCCTCCGTGTTGACCCTCCTCTTTATAGACTGGACACTGGCTCAAGTCCATCTGGTAGGGTCTCCTCAGCTTCCTTGATCAAGAGGCCAAATGACCCACCACCATTACAGGACATTTGCGCGATGCTCATAGTCCCTGGGAACTAATCGACCCAGGAGGGCAAGGAGCAAAAAGTGT